GAGCAGATTTATCTCCTAAAGTTAAAATGTAATAAAAGTCAATCTGTTAGAGGATTTTATTATTACACTGTCTCTATAGCAAGCCAAAATATATTATCTATAAAACCAATATCTGTTAAAGGAACTCGATTTTATGTTTTCCCCATTCTTACTGAAATCTTGTTCCACTTGTTCTAGTCAACCTCACACAGTTGGGACCAAATATTCATTTCTGATTTTCATCAGTTTGATCTCACAAGTGCTTTATCGAGGCTTGTGCTGTCAATATATGGGGCTGGTCTGAGCTGATTTTCAGTGACCCATCAATTTCTGCAGAAACTTGACTTTATTCTTTCATTTTAAATTAAGGCTGGAATCTTTGAGCTTGGAGGAGCTGTACATACTCAGCAACTCTCAAAATCAGGCCGTTTATTTGGGAGCCCATGTGTGGCATTAAGTGCTTAATTTACAGGCACCCAAGTTTGAAAATTTTAGCATAAGTTTCTTACAGTTGCAGTTATATCGTTCCTTCCAAACATGAACCAAAGCAGTCTGGAGAGTAACTGAAACAATAGCTCTAAGACAAAATGTTGACAATAGAACCATGGAGCAGCAGAACCATGGTGGTTTTCACCCATTATACCCAACAAAATCCACTTAGTAGTTACTTTCTGTTCTGCTTTGATTCAGAAATGCAGGATAACCTAGTCCGTATTGGACACATGTAAAAACACAAAGTCGGATCAGCACATGCAGCTTGTATGCATTTTCGATTAATGGAGATGGACAGAAGGAGCAAGAGTTACAGCAAAAGAACATTTTTGTCTCAAATATACATCAGATTAATAGCTGCAACTACAGTGAAGATCAATTTTTAATCAAATGTTGCTAACATAATGCAGTATTAGAAGGGTTAAGGAGCCATCTGCTGGTGACTTCAACAAATTGTTGAACGCAGCAATGCTAATAAAATTTCAATTATAAATTAATTATGTACAGTGCATTTAATTATCCATGGATTCAAACTACCCATGGATAATTCAAATAAAGCACTTTCACGGGGGACATACAGTCTGCTCTGTATCTGCCAACAATTTAAATTAGATACCAATGGATTATGGGTGTCTGATTTTTTTTTTAAATTAGCACAAAAGCAGTATATTGGATCATGTCATATTAGCATATATGTGGAATTCCGCTGCTCCATGCTATATGCCTCTATTCGTTCACAGTTCACTGCTGTTTATTAGAAAGCAGAGATCATTAAAATATCTGCTTTATTCAAGAGCTGGTAGAAAGTAGGTTCACTCACTACCTTGTTTTCAGTTTGTTATATTTCCCCATTGTTGAAGCTAAGAACAGGGGTGCCAAAAGGAAGAAAAAGGTAAATGTTATTTAGAATAAAAGTGGGCCCATAGCCTAGTTAGCAGTGCAAAGTGCTGCAACAGGTACAGGTCCCAAATTAAGCATCGGCGCCACCTGAGGAAGGAAAATAAGTATAAAATAAATAATAACATCTCTCTAACAACCCCAGTGCTGAAACAATATTGAGGGGATGGGGATCTGGAGGGAGTTGCCTTTGCTAGAGGAAAAGGCCCTAGTGGGATCCCAGAGAATACCCCTCAAAAGAACAGGGTGTTGTATACAACTTAAGTGAGTGTGCCCATACACAACATACCATGTTTAGCGGGGGATGTTCAGAAGCACTCGGCATTAGCCTAACTCCGTTCCCATTGATGTAAAGGGGAGTTCACTATTGACTTCAAAGGAAACAGAGTTATACCACGGCCTGGTACTTTTGGAAATCCCCACCCTCGTTCTCCACATGGCGAACTGCAGAGCATTATCCACTCTGTCAGGTAACAGGTATGGAACATGTTTTCCCGTAACCTTTCCCTGGGCATCAGAAAGACTGAACTGATGATCAGCCCTAGTACAACTGATTTACCTCAGAAAGCGAAAATACCCATAAGGGACTAGTCCCCCTTCCGTGTTCACATGCAGTTCCTCTTCGCATTAACGTTAGCAATTAGTGTAAGCATCAAGGGAGAAGTGACCCGTCGCAGCATGTGATTGAACAACTAATGGGAGTCACACAAATATAGCGATGGCAGAACAGACCCCTAAATGAAAGAAATATGGAAAAACCCTTGTATATCAGGCAACAAAGTCTAATCTGTGGGGTGTGCTGATGTGTATGTGCATATCCTATAATTAGACTAAATTAACAGAAGACTAAATTGTAGCAGTTAGCCCCAGTCCTGAGTAGAGGGCAGGGAGGTAACCCTCTGCCCCAGGGAAAGCACAATCCCTCTGCAAACTCCCATTCACTGTGGTCTCCCTGGCTCTATACTCAAGGGTGTAGGGAAAGAGCAGTCCATGAGCTCCTCTGTGCTTCAGAACACAAGCTATCCCTGAGGTGACCATAAAGTGCTAGATGACAAAAGGTTTGTTAGTTGTGTAGAGCTTGCTGAGGATTTGGGGATCTCTGGATAAAAGGTGCTAGATCATACAACCATAGGGTTAGAAGGGATCGCAAAGGTCATCTAGTCTAAGGTTTTTCAATGCATGACCTCAATCCCAGGCCTTGATTCCCTCGGCTCCTGAGAAAGAGAACCCAACCCCTCTTATACCCTGATTGGCGCTAACAGAATCTACCTGTTAGTATGACTCAGCAATGGTTACATTGTAGGTCTCAAAAACAAGTCTGATAACAAGATGACTCAGCAGAAGAGCCCTGCATCCCCAAATCTGCCATCCAGCTCCAATACAATAAAGATAACAGTCTGCCATTCTGCTACAAAATAATAAAGACCACATTTTCAAGAGTGCCTTCTAAATTTATCCCGGCAGTGTGTGCGCAAGTTTCAGGGTGGCCGAAATATAACGTGAAAATGTAGAAACCAGATTATTTGAAATGTAAGACCACGTGGCCTTATTGTTGTATAATTTTATACCTTTAGCCATTCATCCAAGTTATTTACTCCATATGCTATTTGATCACTTTTCACACTTCATCTCCCTAATTATACATATGGGTAAATAGAGATGCAGATATCTGCCTATCTGCACGCATGAAATTTTGGCAGAGTTCACATATAGTCATTTGTCATCCAGTCTCTTTATTTTAAATAAATCTTCAGTATTATAACTCAACATTTTAGCTCATGCCTTCCAAAATGAGTGAAGATTTCCATTTCCTCCATTAAAACAGTTCTAGTCAAGTAACAAACTTGACATTTTCCAGAATTGATGGATTATTTCCACTGAAGTATTGCATGTCTAAAATTGCATCACTTCCTTTTGGAACCATCAACAGTGAGAAAGGGCAAGCATACGTTTAGAAATCCACTTACCGACTACTTTCTACTGTTGGTTTTTTTCGTGCAGCTGGAATGCCTAAACCCAAGCTAACAGTACTTTCAAAAGAATGTTTATTTCTAGGGCTGGCCGGAAAACAACAATTCCATATCTCACACACAAAAATTTCAAGGTTTTGAAAATTGTTTTTGTTCCAGTGCAGAATGAAAATGAGAGCTTTCACATTTTTACATGGAAAAAAAAAAGAAAGAAAAAGAGTTGTGCTTGATAGCCTGATCGTTAGGGCAATCACTTGGGATGTGAGAAATCCCTGGTTCAAATCCCTCCTCTGCCTACTTTGGAACTAGGGTGACCAGATGTCCCAATTTTATAGGGACAGTCCCGATTTTTGGGTCCTTTTCTTATATAGGTTCCTATTACCCCCCCATCCCCTGTCCCGATTTTTCACATTTGCTGTCTGGTCACCCTATTTGGAACAGGGACTTGAACCTGGATCTCCCACATCCCAAGTGAGTGTAACTCCTGGAATGGTCATTAATCATACATTAGCACAATGCAGACAAGCTTCTAATATTTACATCCCCCTTTCCAGTAGCAACAGCTTCACCTGAAGAAGTGGAATGGAACAAGAGCATGGCAGAAAAACTAATCCTAGTTACAATTTACTCATACAACCAGCACGTCCATCACGGAGCGATCTAACAGAGCTAGGACAGCAACAACTGCAATGGGATTAATACTTGGCAGCAGAATTCCTAAACCACTAGGGTTACTATAGCAATAGGAAGTGCAGTTATGAAAAAGCCTGTAGCATTGCTGCCATCCTGCTGTGAGCCAGAGGTATAGTACATCCAAGTTTTGATGTAGAAAACACATTAATATGCGCACCCAAACTTAATATATTGTCTTAGTTCTTAGCTAAGCTGCTAATTGTGCGATGCCTGATTTCACTCCTGCATGCCTGAGCAATATTGATTTAGTTGGGGACTGGTCCTGCTTTGAGCAGGGGGTTGGACTAGATGACCTCCTGAGGTCCCTTCCAACCCTGATATTCTAGGATTCTTGTGAATGCTGACATTTCACATAAGCCTATTTTGCTTAAATACATCGTGTAACGCTGCAGTGCAGGCCGCTTGTTGCACAAATAAAATAGATAGCACGTCACAATGTACTAGGAGTTTGGTATCGAATTTAAGCCAAGCGATTGTAGCAATTAATGTGAGATCAACATATTGGCCAAAATTTTCAAGCCATGGCTCAGTCCATTACGTTAGATTCCTAAATAAAAGAGGCATGATTGGCCAAAAAGTGCTCAACAATAAAGCCAGTGGCAGCTACAAGCACTCAGCACTTCTGGGGGACGAAAACAGTCTATTTTGATACCTAAATGTGGATGTAGAATCAGAGTTCATCTAGGATTAGAGATCATCTTTTCTGACCTCCTGCACATCACAGGCCACTCTACCCCACCAGTTATCCCTGGATTAGACAAATGCAGTACAGCCCTTGGGAGATTAAACTACTGTGTGCCACAGGCAGACACTAGGAGGGACCACAGTGCACCAATATCCAAGGCTCGTGCAATGGCAAGGGAATTGATTTGGTGAGATATAGCCACTATAATAGTAAGCGCAGGCAGGGCAGGTTTGAAATTTTAACCATTTTAATTAACTTAATATAGTTCCTCTCCTTTCTCCTAGGTGGCTAAGCAGCTACAGCCTTCAGTCATCTGGATTGGAGACGCAGAAAAAACATTCTACAAAAAAGTGCCAAAGTCTGAAAAAGAGGTGAGGGGCTCCTGTTTGATTTCTAAACCTATAATAATTTCACATACCGTAGTAGACCTGACCCAAAGGAACCGGGGCATTTCCCAGTGTAACATATACCACCACAACCAGACCTGCCAATGCTCACTTTATAACAGCTTGCCTCACTTTTACTTTTTTAAAGAAAGTCTCATGACCTCTCACAAGCTCTTGAAGAAGTCACCTCAACTGGCCTTATTTAAAAGTAATTTGCCCAGTGCTCATGAGTGCTGATGGCACAGCAAGAGAAACAAGAATGAAAGAAAAATGGGAGACCTAAAAAAGACAAAAGAAGAAACTAAGACTTAAGACAAGCTTAAATTATTCAGCTTTATTTATCAATAATAAAGGAACAAGGACAAATCTGCATTGTAAAAATCAAGAGTATAGGCCAAACAGTTAAATTAACAGATTTTTATTTACCTCCTGGAATTCCTGTTTTAATTACTTTCTTTCCTTTCCATAATCAGCAATTTCCCACTAGTAAAGAAAAGAAAAAAAAACATGCAGAAACACACTGTGTTTCATATAAAGCAACTTGTACAACTGCAAACAGGGTCACATGTGAAATACTCATTCAATTCACAAAGCTTTCAGGACTTTAGCCACAATTGATTCTTTGAATCTATGTCAAACTGAACCATTTTTTAATTATTATTTTTTAAAGGTAGCTTGTATTTTTTGTGAGGACACAAATGCAATATTTTTAAGATACTGATGACATACTAACTGTCTTAGATTAGCCTGTCATTTTACAAGCTGTTTAGAGTGCTTATTTTATGACTTGCGTATATGGTGATTGATGCCCTCTGGTGGCTGACATACCATACTGAAAGCAAATAATTCCCTAATTCTCAAATCTTGGTTGCAACTATTATTGTAAAGAAGATTGTGGGACAAATACTGCCTTGAGTGTTCATAGCCTTTGTCTACTGGCTTCATTAGCAGCAGTCTGTGCACATCTAAGGACAGAATTTTGCCCTGATATAACTTCCAAAATGCAATGCTAGGGACAGTTGTATAAATTACACTCCGATCTGTTCACATTTAGTGGAAATTCACGTATTTCCTTGACTGAAATAGACGGGCTCCAGGACTGAGCTCACTTGTCTCTAGTCCCACTGCTACACAAATAGCACAAGCTGTATCCAACATTCTGAACCAGCTACAGGAGTCTATAACAAGCAGTCTGAGCAGGCCTCAATAAGAGAACCCCCAACAGTAATGACAGCATAGGGAAAGAGGAATCAAGGAAAACAGGTAGCAGAAAGGTAGCTGGAGATGGTAAGCTAAATTCTGCCTTGGGATACAGACAATGAGAGCCAATTGTGCACCTTCCCAGGCAATGATTTTGGGACAATAGCTTAGATTGTAATAATAGAAAACGTTATATTTTGTGGAAGGCCCATTATAAAACTGGCCTCCATTGCCCTCCTTTCAGGGTCAGCCCTTTCCTGCCTTCCCAGAATTGACGGCCAGACAGTCAAGTATTAAATCAGTCATGGTAACCCAGTTGCTAATGGTGCAAGCAATACAGTCACTATCTTTCTTCAGGAACCTGGGGCACCTTCACAATACACCCCACATTCTCCAATCCAGATTTGGAGACAGCTGTAAGCCGGGGTACCCTGCTCAACAGCCTTTCTTGCTACAGACATTTTTCTTTTAAAGTGAATGGGAGTATTATTAGCTTTCAGTATATATCCCTTCAATACAATGGACGTACATTATTTTCCAATACACAACAGGAGCTGTAGACACACTAATGCCAAAATGGCTTTCTAGGCTTCACACTGGAGCGGCGAATGTAGGCAGTGTTGGGGGGTGGAGGGTTGGCACTAGTACAGTCATTTAGATTTTAAAAATAAGATTCCTACATGTAACTGACTCTAGATCAATGGAAATACAGAAAGCTACTACCTCGACCCAAAAGTGGATTGCTCAAAATGTAATGGCTGAATTAGGACTTACCACAAAGACTAGGGGAAAGAGCAAAGGAGAATTTTTTGTTGTTGTTGCTTTTGGTTAATTATCTGACAATTCCTGTTGCCAAGACACCCTTCCCAGTAGAAGGGATGTATTAGCGTCCTATAAACCAGGAACTCTAACCGGCAGTAATAGTTTAACCTCTACCATTTATTTCAGTGAAGTGCTAATTTTGGAGCCTAATTAGTGCCATTTAATAATGATAATTCTCTCAAATAACAGTTTTCATTTTCAAAACACTTTACGCACATTAAGGACTCCTTCCAACAACCTTATAAGATAGGCAAGTAAAAATCCAAATGTCTCCCTAAATACTGGGCAGTTGTGCAGCTAGTGTGAACTGGCTACAAACCCTTTTTAACACAACTATGTGGAGCCAGTCCTCACCAGTAGCACAAACTTTTATTTTAAGAAGTGCTTTCAGTGATACTCTGACTAGTATGAACAGGGCCAGAGAAGTGAAATTTCTCACCAAAGGCTACCTAACTAATCAGTGGCAAAGCTGGGGTAAAGAACTCAGGAGGTTGTTGTTTGAAGTCCTTATTTCAGACCACTAAACTGTGTTGCCCACTAACACTTCAGTTCTAATATTATTAAGCAACAGTAGGACACGCATGCTGCAGCCCTGACAAGTTGATAACAGATAAGGCTCTTCCACCTTAATTGAATTGGCTCATTAGCACTGACCCCCCACTTGGTAAGGCAATTCCCATCTTTTCATATACTGTGTATTTATATCTCTCTACTGTATTTTCCACTCCATGCATCGGATGAAATGGGTTTTAGCCCACGAAAGCTTATGCCCAAATAAATTTGTTAGTCTCTAAGGTGCCACAAGGACTCCTCGTTGTTTAGACTCTCAGTGTGACTTTGAAGAATGACTTATATATTCTCTCTTTTTCTATATTTTATCTAACTAAACTAGAGGAAAATGATATTTCCTCTTCTCCTTGATTGTTCGGAGTTTTCTTTCATTTCTAATTTCTCCTCCTTTGTACTCTTTAATCCAAAGAATAGGCACTTCCCTTCTTTCAGCAACTGCTGGTACAAGCAGATGAAAACCTTTGCCTGGCAAGGGCATTCACAGGGGAGGATATAGTCCATCCTTGAAACTCAGGTACCTCGGAGTACATAGCCTTCCATAGTGCTAATATAGAGGAGACTGAGTCCAGAGCTAAGTGAAGGTCTCCCATGTTGCAGCCTGACATACAGTAAAAACAAGGAGACAAAGTAAAATGTTCAAAAGACCCAAAAGTGACTTGGGAGCCTAAGACCCATTGACTTTCAATAGATTTGGGCTCCCAATGCCTAAAGGCCAGATTTTTAAAGGTATTTAGGCACCTAATGTGATTTTCAAAAGTATCTAAGCACCAAACTCTCATTGGTGCACAACACCCATTGAGGTCAAAGTGCTTTTGAAAATCCCTTTGGGTGCTTAAATACCTTTAAATAGTGGGCCCTAAGTGTCTTTTGAAAATAGAACTTAGCCTCTCAAATCACTTAGGCCCTTTTAAAATATTTACCCCCAATCCATTGCTTTGCAGAGCTGATTATTTTGTATCTACATGCATCAGTTTATGAATTTTAAAGATACAGTAAGACCACAGCAACATATAAACACTGCAGGGCCCTGCTCATTAGTGATATAATATCTATGATGAAATATGACTGCAAACTATTGCAAATAAATAAGTACTAAGTTTACACAGCCAAGTGTTTAAGTTTATGAACTTGGAGCCTTGCTAAGCTAAAACCACGGCAGAATGTGAGGAACCCACTTATCTCGTTGAAAACACAGCTGCTTGTTTGTAAATCTAGATCTCCAAGATACCAGAGCAAACATTACAAATCCTAGCAGTTTTCTTGGTATTGAAATTAACCAAGTACACTGATATTATCCAGCTGATATTAAGGGATTTTAAAAAATAATAATAAAAGAGCTAGCTTCCTTCCTGCCTTTCAATTAGTCAGTGCCCGCAGATGAAACAGGGAAACACTGGAAGTCAAAAACGTCACAAATTCATAATAGAAATTAAGTGCTGACTCAACCTGCAATAGCCAGACTTGACCCAGGAGGCAAAAGCTTAACTTAGTCCCACTTATGCTGAGTATCTCTTCTCTTTACACTAAGTGTAGGGCAACAGAGAGCCATAAAGCTTTCTTTATATAGAGCATTCAGAAGGTGTTATTTTAGGACAGTTATTTCACCTGCTTAACTCTAAAGGATGGGTGCTAAGATTTCACTTTTTTCCCCATGTATATATATATATATATATATCTGCTCCTGAAGATGGAACCTAAACGTCTGAAAAAGAATCTCCCCAAAATCCTGAAGAGTTTGAAAGCAGAGGACAGAGTCCTGGTTGTGGGGACTACCCAACGTCCCTTTGATGCCGACCTCCGACCTTTCTGCAGAGTTTACAAAAAAATCCTCCTGATTCCCAGGCCAGACTATGCTTCAAGATTTGGCAAGTATATTAAATCATCATGGCAGATCAAGATCAGCTGTTTATATGAAAACATGCTAAAGCAATAACATGCCACAGGAGGGATGCCTTTATCTGGCTATTGTCAAAAATATGATTTAATCTCAACTCATACACTGTGTGCGCCTAGGCACCTGAGATTTTCAGTTAACATTATGGTATAAGACAAGCTAAAATATATATATATCAGTCTCATAAAAATGAAGAAAAAAGTTTTGTTCTCCGGTGGCTGTACTTCATTTTATGTATTTAGGTTTAAGATACATTGAATCTGGACTTGGACTATTATTTTTGGCTCTATAAATGCCAAGAACCCATCTGGGTGCTCATTTTTATTTTAACCCAACTTTTTACAGGAAGTCGAATCTGACCGGCTGTTATTTCTAACAGGGTTCCACATTTTAAAGAACATAATTTAGGTCCTATTCATAAACGGTTTCATTTTTGGAAGATTGGGTTATCACTATCAAAAATCCTTTTTTTTAGGTTTATAGATCAACTTTAAGATTCCAAGGCAAAGTTGGCAGATGCCAGAAAAGTCACCATTAAGATTTAAGCTCATGTATTATCTTCAACAGTGAATTTCCTAGAGTTGCTTGTTATTTACCCATTCATAGTCATACATTGTGGCTATCAATTCTGTGAGCACTCACACAATTTAAAACCACAAACAAGAATCAAACAGACATTTTAAAAGACTTGCCAAACTCCACAGCAATCTGCTCCCCAACATTCACTTCTAAGTCCCACTAGCTATTAGTAAGATCACCTCTCTTCCTTTGATATCTTGGCACAGCTGTGGATAGCTGCCTGATTGGAATGGGAAGGGGCTGGTAGCAGAGCATTCTCAATTATGTGTTTTCATCTTTTGAAATCACTTCCCCGTGGTTCAGAAGAGCCCAGACTTGGTGACTTTCAAAACCACAAAGGCTATTTAGGTTAATTTAGGTCAATTTGGGTTGAATTACAGACTCCAGGGAACTTAATAGACCAATCAGTCCCCCTTCATGCTCCTGAAAAAGTCTGGAATGAGGTGCTGTGGTGAACTAGAGGACTAAAACTAAGGATCTTTCATCAGACTCCTCACTGAGGCTATCCTGCCACCAATCCCCTCCTATCTGAGCCGGGGGCTGTTAACATAAGCACCTCAGCTGCTCACAATTGCTAAGACAACAGACTTTCTTCATACTGTTTTATCACTTGTGGTGGAAGTCCCAGGCAGAATTAAAACAGAATTAAAACAAACCACTTCAGTCCCAGCTGTACCACAATTAGTCATGTTGGGGCACTCGTTTACAACATGATTATGCCGCAAACAAAGTACACAGGACTGCATCATACGTTTACCAAATTACCAACTCATACAACAGCTCTGTGAAGCTCAGCATTGTACCGCCATTCAGAAGCTTGCTCACCGCAGTTTGGTGCACGAAACAGCAAATTTTTAACTGTGTTAAGGGCTAGTCTGTTGCAACTCTGTCCCACATGCCATCATTTCCATAGTGCAGATGGAACTCTGGCCTCTAGACAGGACCAGACTGTATAAAAACAGTAGGACACGCATGCTGCAGCCCTGACAAGTTGATAACAGATAAGGCTCTTCTTAAGTTAGGGGAGTGAGACATGGCTAGGATGTGGAGAAGGGAGATGGAAGAAAGTGAGTTTGAATAGTTCAGATAAGCCGCTGGGCGCTTAACCGCCATTTTATGGGTTTTACTCATCATTCATTTAGAATCCAAAGGAGAGTTATAACCAAAAGGGATTAAATCATTAATCTTAGCATGCAAAGAAAAGTCATCACCGTCTAAATTTTAAGGTAGATAAAATTTGGGCCTTCATTATTTAATCCTGCCCCTTTAAAATTATCACCCACATTTTCACCAAACAGTAAGTTTATTCTTGAGATCAGACCGACAAACTGTAGGAAATCTTGCAACATTCTAAAGTGCTTTCTTGGTGCCAACCACCCTTAACTCCCTTGCTTGAGGAACTCAACACCTATCATGGCCAGTCCCCCAGTTTGAGAGTCCAATCGAATTTTTGTAGCTGATTTCTAACAGCCTTAAAACACCAGACATTCATAACTACAGATGCCCAATTTTCACATGTAGCCTGTAGCCCTTCCACTTTTCTACAGTACAAGATCTTTCATTTATACCCCACAGGGGTACAGCAAACACACAATGGCAGTCATTACATCTGGAGATCTGATATTAGTCATGATGTGCATCAGTTTCTCATCTTATCCATGATCCTCGCCTGCAGTGGAAGCTACACTGCACAACACACGGAAACACAAAATAAATGTTCACCGCTGCATGTATCAATTTCCCTATTATGAATCAGTGATTCAGCCAATAGTTATTGAGAGTAGGTATCAATCAAGTTGAAGAACACTGTTTTCTAGAATGAAAAACGAAGTCAGTGGTTATGATTAAAAGTCCATAATATCTACATTACAATAGAAGGAAAGGTGAAGCAGTTTTTCTCTTACACAAAGACCATTACTAGATGCTGCAACAGTCTCATAATTGTAACTCTCCCCACGCATATTATTATGCCATGTACTGTGTCTTCAAACACAGATCACTCATGTGGCACAAACTGCACTACCAGACTACACTACTACAATTTCAATCCTCTATATGCAATTTGTCTGTCACTATTTTCACTTGTTTTACTTTTCAGACAAAGAAAATATTTTTTTAAAAGACTTTCTAGGGAGACATGTTTAAGAATCTGTGGGATCTATGGTGGTATAAGGCTTGTAATCAGCATGACTTTGGGATATATGCATTACCGTGCAAAGGGTGAAGGATGTTTGTCTTATTTATTATGATATTTTTGTGGCACCCACAAAGTGCTAGGTGCTTTCAAAATCTGAAAAATATGGTCCCTGTCCTCCAGAGTTTGCAAGCTAAAAGGCAAAGGCATGAGATTAATGCACCGTCGTATTTACAGACATAGCCCTACGCCTGCAAAGACATACACATATTATTTTAAACGTGCCCAGGTCTTTGGAGGCTCCAGGCCTTAGACACCTAAAGTAGAGTAGTGAGCCCTTGTACCTCTCATTGACTGCAGTGGAAGCTACCGGCTAAGCACCTATTAAAATCATGCCATGGATGTAAGTGTCTAACTTTAGGCACCATGGTTTAAAAATCTGGCCACATTACCTGAATGCATATATACAGACACACGCAGATATACACAGAGTAGATCAAAATATGCTTATTTTAATTGTGTATTTCCCCAATATGTACAGGGCGCATATATAAATATCTGTATATATATAAAATCAAATCTTTTGGTTTTGCTGATTGTACTGATGTCCTATGTTTTCAATTTCCTTCTCAGAAAGAACCTTAGGTTCAAAGTGATTAGCCAGGTCACTCAGATTGCTTTTCCAACTCCTTAATACATGTTTTTGGGTTTCTCGTCCCTCTCCTGTTGGTGATGAACAGTCTTATGGAAACACATCATCCTACAGAATGGAGGGGCTGTCACCAAATCATTGAACATAAGTTGCCTAGCAAAGGTTTCCGATGGTTTCACCCAGGGACACATCGTTTATGCAGTGCAAACTGTCCTCAGTGAACGACGCCTCAGGCAGATGACTAACAAGCCACTGACAGCTGCTGAGTTCCTGAGTTCCCTGGCCAGGCAGGACCCAGTGTACAAAGAGGAGGAAGAAACGTATAAGGTGAAATTAACATCTACGTAAACAATGCTCGTTTCACTCTCCCTTTCAGTGTTCTCACTCACCTCCCACAGGTGTGTCCTCTAACTACAACCAAAATATGTCCTGCTACAGACTAGTAGTAGTAGCAAGCTGCATCTTAGAATGTGTCTGCACCTGAATGGGATTGGTGCTGAGTGTCTCACTGGGTTAGAGCCATTGTGTCTGCTAATTGCTCATGCTGTCCTCTCCGCTGTACAAGAGCCCTACCACATACTGAGCAAAGGTGAAGGCAATGGATGTTGAGAGTACCTCGCACCGTTCCGGACAGGGCCCTTACACTGCAACCAATAGCAGAGTGTAAGTGCCTCTCTCTGCCGCTCATTTCTCCTACATACACACAATCAAATATTATGTAGGCCAGAAGGGGGAACTTTTAACAGCTGTCAGTGCTACACTCTGATTTTCTTTCTTTACTTCTCCAGCAACAAGCAGTATAGAGTCCCCAGCAACTTCGACACACAAAAATGACTGAATCACTGATCGCCAGTCACCTGAGTCTAAACTCAGCCACTGGTTGGCTGGTTGCTCTCATGAGACATTTACATCTCTCTCCAACGTCTAATCTCAGCTTGGTGCACACATTCCCCCAGTCAGTTGAACAGTCTCCAATTTCTATTCAGAAACATTTGGCTCTATGAATATGGTCAGTACTTGTATTATTTGGCATTTTAGTCTTTTTGCTCACTCTTACTATCTGTCCAGTATCTTACCTCAAGGTGTGATTAATATTTCAGTGTTGTATCACAGCAGGAAAAATTCATTCCCAACTCCAAGAAGCAATCCACTTATGCCCTGAAATGTGAGGCCTGATATTTGTTGTTACTTTTTAACTGAGGGCTTGTCTACATTACCCGCTGGATCGACGGGCAGCGATCCATCCAGCGGGGGTCAATTTATCACGTCTAGTCTAGACGCAATAAATTGACCACCGAGCACTCTCCTGTCGACTCCGGTACTCCACCGGAGTGAGAAGCGGAAGCGGAGTCGATGGGGAAGCGTCAGCTGTCCACTTACCACAGTGAAGACACCGCGGTGAGTAGATCTAAGTACGTCAACTTCAGCTACGTTATTCATGTAGCTGAAGTTGCATAACTTAGATCGATCCCTCCGCACCTCCTCGTGTAGACCAGACCTGAGCTAGTGAAACAGCAGATGTTATTCCTATAAACATAACTGCACAGCACAAAGTACGCTGACAGCAATCAAATAATTTTGAATCTAGCTAAAATATTTCCCCCACTATCCTGTGGCAATGATTTCTTTGCATTAACTATATCCTTCTTTCAAATGTATTTCCTTTTACCTGTTTTAAATCTGTTTCCTTTAAATGTCAGGTAGTGTTCTTGTGTCATGGCACAGAGGAACTGATTGCCAAAATGGCCTTCACTGTAACATTCAGAGATCACTCTTCGCTTTCTTCTTCACATTAATTAATTCAAGTCTTTTAATCTCTCCTCACATGGAAGCGGCTGTCCCCTGAGCCTCTAATCATTTTCATTGCTCTTTGCTGGACCTTTTGTGTTGCTTTGTCCTTTTTGAAGTGAAGTGACTAAAACTTAAAGCAGTATTCAAAGTGAGGATTAGTACACTGATGAATCTTTGATTTCTATTCACCCTGAACGTGAATCTCCCCATTTGACATGTGGTTATGTTCTGCCACTGTTCCCAAAATGAATATAAATAATGGGAAATGGTGATAATAGGATTTCTTAAATTCAGTTATATACACTCATTTAAAAAGTGACCTAGTTACTGCACCTGTTTGATACAAAATAGTTAAGTAGAAACAAACAGATCACCTTATTGGATCAACCAATGATCCAACATCCTCTCCCGGACAGTAGTCAGTACAAGATACTTCAGAGAAAGGTGCAAGAAAACCTATACTGATAATTATAGATCAGCATGCCCCCAGGGGAAGTTCGTTCTTAACTCAAGGAAGTCATTGGTTGGCTTATGCCCTGAAACTTCAGGGTTCAAATCTCTTAGAAACAGAAACCTAACTGTGTATCTTATTATTCATTAGAGAAAAATCTAATCTAGTTTGGATTCTTGCTAAGCGGTTGGCTTCAGTAATATCTTGGAGCAATTCCACTAGTTGCAGAATCTGTGAAGAAACGGTCATGGGGAATGCCAGTAAATAGGTTAATAATTTAATTAAACTGAATATACAAAAGTAAGGAAAAGGAAACAACAGATGACACCAACAGCAGTTGGTGTTGGTCCCGCTTTCAGCAGGAGGTTGGACTAGATGACCTCCTGAGGTCTCTGCCAACCCTAATATTCTATGATTCTATGACACTGGGAATCATTAACCCCACCCTGCCACATAAGGCAAGGCCTTTGCTAGCAATATGGAGTGCGGGTTGGAGTAGGTCTCAATATTCCCTTACATTTACCACGTGCTGCCACATTGTTTAGTTAGTCCTTAATAAGCTGTTCCTAAGAGTTCCATCACCATGCAGAATTTCTTCAGAGAAGTCTAACAGCCCGACGGTTTCAAGGTGCAACCCTTCAAAAGTTTGTACTAGCCCACAATATATGTGCACCATCACTAGAACTTTCTGCCCCACCCTCACCCCCAGTACAGTAAAGTACAGCCTAATTATTCAAACCCACCTAGTTTTGGGTGAAATTTTGTATAATGCAGAGTTAGCAGAGGGGGTAAGATAGAGAGGTTTGAAGAATAGGTATTCAGTTAAATCAGAATAGTTAGATTGTGCATCACAATATTACAGCTGTTCCACAGCCGGTTGGCCATTTTGCTACTGGTGCATTTTGTTTACCCGTTTAAGCCATTTAATCCACAAGACACTACAAGCCCCAACAGAGTGAACACCATTGTGAATGGAGATAGTGTAGGTATAAGTGTGGATGGAGAGGAGTAGAGAGAGATGGGAGTTGACCTAAGTAGGATTCTGAGGTGAGAGGCAGAAGTCAAGACATCAGGATACTGGTCCTTAGGCTTCTGAGAGGGAAAAAGCCAAATTCATCCCTGGCATAACAAAAGAGATGAACATATAGTTAATAGCTTTTTCATCATGCACATCAATATCTAGTCGCATCTTGAGCTGCAGAATGGACCATGACATTGTTAATACAGACACGGACATTTCAAGTTTGGGAAAAGGTTATTTCCTATGCACAAGTGATTTTCAAATATTACCAATTCAGCCATTTTAAATTATTTTAACATATCCCAGAGAGGTCTGGTTGCCATTACAGTCCAAGAGCTTTGCAAATTTGCAAAGCAACCAAAACAAAACCATTTACAAGACACAGGACTATGAACAAGCACATGAAATCAATAAACACCTTTTGAAAAATTATGATTTAACTTTCCCACTGAAATTAAAAACAACTGAACAGATTTCGAGAACTACCAAAAAATATGCTCTTTATACTGCCAAGTTGCAGATCAGAGGTAATTTTGACAAGAGCTACATACCCTTGGAAATAGGGTTGATCATGAAGTTCTAACACTCCAATAACTATAGCAACACAAGTGGCACAGCTAAGTGTTCATGTTAATGAGGGACTCGGAAAGCAGATGATTGCTACACTTCTTGTTATAATGGTGTTCTCAAGAGTTCTAAGGATCTTGTTTCAGCTTCTCCACAAGCCAACCAGAATTGTAAGGTTTTTGTTAGGAACACTTCATCGTACGTGCAAAAGTTACTTAAATGTTCTTTCATGCTTTTTTCCCTCCCCTCTCACCACTTATTTGATTCTTCAGGTTTGGTTTGCCAAGACACCTCTGGGGAAAGCACGTGCCAGAGCACTGATGGAAGGTGAGGAAGTAGGAAAAGGAAAAGGAAAGGATAAAGGGAAAAAGAAGGGAGGAAAGAAAGGGAAAAAGAAGAAAAAGTAATTTGTTTCCTTGAGGAGATCTCATCTGGGAATACATCACAAGAAGCGTATTGATCCATTTCTCTGAAGAGGGATGAGGACATTAGAGACAACATACACAAAAATCTGTGGCCAGCTCCGGAGGACGGCTATATTTCTAAGTGTGTTCCATGGAAAAAAAAAAGTTGCAAATAGGATGAGACACCAGTGTGACATTTAACTCCCACAAGATTAAGAGCTAATGACCACTGACTTTCTCAAGCATCATTTATTCTAAAGAGTTTTTTAAGAATTACTTAGGACTATATCAGACCATCAAGTTTTTAGGCAAAACTCCTTATTGAGTTCAATGAGGAATTTTGCTTAAAAACTGATGTCGTGTTAAGAGCCTTTAATTATTTATTTTTATGTTATTAACCTAGATGCTTTGTAAAACTAACTGCTTTCCATACCTGTATGTCTAGTGTATTCTAATTCCCAATAAAACTGTTATAAAGGCTCTTTTTAATTTTTCTCTGACCATGGGCTGTTACCAAGCACTTAATGTAGGCTACCATAGGCTGACCAACATTTAGTTACAGAAGCATGTACTTATTCACAGGAGGACCAGCACAGCACTTCATCTTTCTACAAATGTCACCATGCACAAACATTCACGGATACAAATGTTAGCTCATACACAGAGGAAATTCACTTGAATGGCGTTTATTTCAAAGAGTGTTTGTGAATACTGTTTGGTGATATTTGACTAGCTCAAACCACAGTGCTGCAATATTCAGGTTGCTAACACTGTAAGAAGATTTAAAAAAAAAAAAAGATTGGAACTTTAAGAAGCCATGGGAATACTTCCATTGGTCCTAGGTTTTAGGCTAAATTTGGCCTGACCTGTACTAAGCTTTTCAAAAATATGCACACCTTATAGCCCTCATTCTGCAAAGACTTCCATTATGCACCTGAGCAATTCCATTGACTTCAACGTAACAGATCCATTGACTTCAGTGGGACTTCTCATATGTCTGACATTGTGCATGCACTTCAGTCTTTGCAGGATCGGGGTCGTGGTTTGTGTATGTAGCAGCTTGTCACAGCAGAACCTGAAGCTTCAAATGGCCTCGTCTCTTCCTTTCAGGGAGACCCCAGAGGCTTCTGACAGACAGCCCTCCAATTGTTGGCTCCCTTGGGCATTTGCTATTGTTGTCCTTCTTGTTTAACAGCTAGAGTGCGGCGAGTCAAATAATGAAAGCATTTATTCACGAGTAACTTGTTTCGGGAATTGACAGAAAAAAATCCTTAAATGAATCACGCACTGAATATGACTTGATCAACAGAGTAGTCAAATAACGACACAATTTATTCGCAAAGTAGTTTACCCACAGAAACTTACCTGAGACTGGACCAGCTCTAACGCCTTTGGAGGGGATTGCAAGCCAGAGCCCCTACTGGGTACAGTATCATCAATATGCCAGTGATACCTCCAGAGGTCTTTTACCCAACATCTATCAAAGACTGGAACCTCTACGACAGCTTGCCAGCTCACAGTCCTGGTGCTTGGTGGGAGGAATAAACATTGAGGAAATGAAAAACGTTACACTGCACCTCAGTAGAGGGAATATGGCTGCTTGTTATCTAGTTAGCTCACAAACCTGGAGGTCTAATAGGACTCACGTGTGCGCCTAAATTTCCAGATAATACCTGCTTTCATCTCTAACTAGCCAAGTGATTGCAGCCTTTCCTTTCGGTGTGGGCTTCATAATGTGTATTCGATCATAGTATTTAAGTTTATATACAATGCTCATCATCACCATGGTATCATAGTGCCTATACATACCTTTGTTTTCGCAAGGCTAGAATACTGTAATACATGCTACACGGGATTACTCTAGAAGGCCGGCCAGCAGTTTCATCTAATGAAGCCTGCATCATCTAACTTTTAGGTAGGGCAGTCTAATGAGACCATAGTACACCTGTGTCCCATGCCCTCCTCTGGCTACCAATTCACCGCTGTTCTAATTCTTGTGTGACAGAGTCGCTGGGAAGGGGCCTCAGAGGAAAAAAAAAGGGAATTTTTTCAAACAAACTGTATTCTTCTATTCCTGTATTCTTCTGTCTGGTTTGTTTGGATCCCAAAGCTAAAGTCCTGCAAGAAAAGTGGGTCAGGTCAGGGCTTCCCTTTCTCCCCAGTTTTCCACACCAGAGCACAGTGGTTTCAGGAAAAAAAGACCCAGAAATAAACCCTGAGAGATTTGTTCTTACCTAGAAAATGGTCAGATTACACTGCCAAACAGGCGTGTCCTATTGAAAGACCAAGGGAAAGAAAAGCCTGCTTGTCAAGCTCCTCTTAACAAAGCATACTGGGAAGGGGAGGAGTCTGAGGCCCTATAAAAAGCACACTCTCTTACATCACAGTTAGTTCTAGAAAGGGTGTTGGTACTGAAGGTGATTCTAGCTTGGAAGAGAAACCTGGGCAAGGAAAAATAAGTCTAAAAAAGCTTATGTGAGAGATTAACTGCATATAGGAGGGCTTTGGGAACCGTATCCCTGAGCACAGTGGGAAGAACTAGTTGATTCTGGTTTAATAAACCCTCTCTTTTCTGCTACTTCCCAGGGGGAAAGGGCATGTTGACTCACTACTACAAGTGGTAATACCTCAGAAATAGGCCTCTTTGGGCCCATAACCACTACAGTCCCTGAGCAACTTCCATCATTCATGTATTCTTATCCTCCTCAAAACTGTGAGGAAGTATCCCCCAGTTTTACCAGTGGGCATTGAGACATAGGGAAGATTGCATGATGTACCCAAGGTCCCACAAGAATTTTGTGGTGCAGCTGGAAATGGAACCCATGTTTTCTGAGGCCCAGTTCACCACCCTGTGCATTGACCCATCCGTCCTACAACAGTACTTGCATTCAATGGAAATGAAATAATTCCCATTAGAAATCCATCTGAGCCTGACAATTTTTAGAGCAAAAAGCAAGATCTTTCTTTGTGCAGGCTTCTTTTTTCCCACCCCATCAGTAGCAGTTGGGATCCCATTGGTAATTAGTCCCCTGGCTGCTAGAGTCTTGACAGGTAGTGAACAATGGGATTCTATGAGCATGAACAGTGGCCTGTATTTAATCACTTGCACAGAACAGCTACAAAATTTGGTGTAATTTTTTACAGACGCTTGGCTGCAGCCTGTTGGTAGCTTTACAAATTCAGGCATCCTGATCTTAATATATTCCAAATAAAAAAATCTCCAACTATCCTTCTCAAAGAGTTCCAGACTCTAAAAATAATATTGCTCATCTTTGTATTAACCTTTTGTAGTCCCTACAGTCAGCAGGAAAACTAATTTGGACAAATTCTGCCCTCAGCCCCACTGACTTCTTACACATAATAGTTACAGTCAACTTCAACAGGGTGGCTAGGGAATTACTGATTGCAGGATATGAACTGATAAAAATAAGATTAGGTTGGACATAAGTAAAGCCATTATATAACATTCAAGGAGGTTAAATAGTATTATTCGTCTAAAAACTAAATTAACAATGGGTGGAATCCAGGAAGGGACTTTGGCATTGCACCACTCAGCATCACAACACCTAACGTTTAGGCAGCTAAACTATCACAGGAACAACACTGAAATACACAAAACCTGAGTTAGGCATCTAGGCTCCCTGTACAATGAATGGGAAGAGATGGGCACCTAAGAATGGGATCCACAAAAGCCAGCACACTAGGCAGCTCCCTGTCTAAGCTAGCCAGTGGGAGACCCCAATATGCTAAGCCCTGCCCTTTCTCAGTGATAGGGGCCTCAGTCCAGGATGCAGGGAGGTGCCTAGCTCTGCTAGCAATCCACAAACAGGAACCCATGATCCTGTCTTAGGTACCTAATTTCTTGCGGGAATGAATTAGGTGCCTGCCCCACTACACAAAATGGCTGGAGGAGAAGGTGGTGGTGCCACTGCCAACTTACTAACTTTTAGCCCGCTGGTTTGAGCGCTCACCTGGGAGGTGAGCAAACCAGGCTCAGATTCCCCCTTCCTGGCAGACAGGGGAGAAAGGATTTGAACGGGGGTCTCCCACCTCTCAGGAACATGCTCTAACCACTGAGCTACAGGACAGTCTGATGTGGGGGTCTCTCTCGGTCTCTCCTGTGGAAGCTGTTCCACTGTGGATAAATAAAGACAGGGTGATTGGGCCAGACACAGAATGACTCTCTAGTCCAGTGGTTAGAGCTCTCTCCTGAGAGGTGCTTACAGGGGTTCGTGGAGTTGTGTGGACCACGGTGGGGTTTAAGCAACCAAGTAGCTCCCTGGATTCCATCCAACATGACTGGCATAGTGTATGTCTCCCTTGGCATATTGCTCCATTTCTAACCACGTACGCAGAAGTGCGGAGCATCTCACGCCCACTCACATGCCTGCACTGATGTGCATGACAGGAGAGAATTTGACTTCCAAGTTTTTTCCATGTGTTCTTCCAGGTTATAGAAGTAATTAAATGTTTCCATTTCTTCTCAATTTATCCTTCAACTGAATATCACAGTGGTGGTCTCCTGGCTCTGCCCTTGTAAGCCATAAAGCTGGATTGTACGTGGATATTAATAGGACTGGGACTTGGAAACCACAATTGGCATATCTATGTAGCAAAAAAGAACATTAGGGGACAGTTTCACTGGCTGGTTAAGCGGGGTTTACAGCTGACTTGCATTGCCAGAATGGCACAAAGCCGCCAGGTTGCTTTGGTGTGCGGAGGTGTATACCTACACCACCTCCAAAGAGCGCCAGTCTTTAAAAAAAGTAGGGAGCAATTTTATTGCTATTTAAGTACAAGGTATAATTATTATCAGGGAATGTGTAGCTATTTGAAAATAAAACCCTTGCGTCAAGCAGGGGCAATACTCACTGTAATTTCAGTGTTAATGATTGAACTATGTAATTAAGTGGCCCCAGTTGATTCTCGAGCATTAGGTCCCACTGTGAGGCTAATAATACTCGCGAAAGTATTGCTGCTAAAGGTGTTCTGTGAGTCTTACGTATTTGCAACAATTACAGGGTGGATTACTTCTAAGCTATATACCAGATACAAGGTAATTAGACTCCTACCTCTTGTTAAGTCTTCCTGTTACCGCACTCTGATAGTACAGTTATTTACAAGAGCAGTTAGGAGAAATGCTGAGAACTCTAAGGGGAACTCTACTGCTCAGTTAACCTGGGTGACTGGCTCCTGGTTCTGAGCACCCAGGTTAGCCTGGCCTGGGTGTGAGTGTTAGAATCATAGAAGATCAGGGTTGGAAGGGACCTCAGGAGGGCATCTAGTCCAATCCCCTGCTCAAAGCAGGACCAATTCCCAACTAAATCATCCCAGCCAGGGCTTTGTCAAGCCAGGCCTTAAAAACATCTAAGGAAGGAGAGTCCACCGCCTCCCTAGATAACCCATTCCAGTGCTTCACCACCCTTCTACTGAAATAGTGTTTCCAGTAACAAAGCCACACCTGCATTACTGCACCCTGTT